TTGTCATATAATGGTGTACTTTTCTATGCTGCAGGTTTGGAAACTTTGGATCCTAACACAGTTGTGATTGGATTAGCACCTGACCACTTCAACTACCAGACACTCAATAAAGCCTTTCGGTAAAAATACTTTGGAAGTTATCGATAAACCATAAAAATGACATCTAAATAGTTCAGTTCTCCCATTGAGTGGATGAATTGTTGCTGCTAATATCATCAGACTCGTTTCATCAGACTCATTTTAGATGGTGCTCCCCTCATTGACATCCATAAAGCACGGTACTATAAAAGGAAGGACGGGTTGGCTTTGGGACCGGGTCCGTTTGTGACGGGTCTTGAGTATGCGACTGACACCCAGGCCACAGTGTTGGGTAAACCAGAGAAAGCTTTCTTCCTGGAGGCCTTACACTCTTAAAAATAAAGGTGCTTCAAAAGGTTCTTCAAGCGATGCCATAGAACAGGGGTGGCCAACTCCGGTCCTGGAGAGCCGCAGCCCTGCAGAGTTCAGCTCCAACCCTAATTAAAACTCACCTGCCTGTAGCTTCCTAGTAACTGTTCAGACCTTGATTAGCTTGTTCAGGTGTGTTTGATTAGGGTTGAAGCAAAACTCTGCAGGGCTGTGGCTCTCCAGGACCGACGTTCGCCACCCCTGCCATAGAAGAACCATTTTTGGTTCCACAAAGAACCATTCAGTCAAAGGTTCTTTAAAGAACCATCTCTTTCTTACCTTTTTATGATCTGAAGAACCTTTTTTCCCCACAAAGAACCTTTTGTGAAACAGAAAGGTTCTTCAGATGTTAAAGGTTCTTTATGGAACCATTTAGATAAAAAGGTTCTTCTATGGCATCGTGAAGCACCTTTATTTTTAAGAGTGTACGAGACCTGAACTGCTCACCGGAGGAGGCTGTGATGATAGGAGCTGTGAGTATGAATATGCATAAGAAAATATTTGGGTGAATCTCACAGTCTGTCAAGGACATGGATTATATATTTTTTTTAAAATGCATGAAGAAAAAATATATCTTAGGAGATTTATGTATGTATTTATTTATTTGAATAAAAAATAGTATAAATATTATTAAGGATCTATACATCACAAATTCATCTTTTAAGTTTTGCTTTTACTAAGCACGTCAATAACATTTCTAGGTCATATGTCACCTTAAAATAAAATAAAACAATTTTGCACTAAGAAAATTAGACCTATTTTAGGATATTTATTTATTTATTATTTATGACAATTAAGCATGACCCAGATGCATTACGACAATGGTAATTTTTGTTGGGATCTTTTCTCAATCGTCATGAAATGAGTATCACAATGCAAAAATCTTAATTCTTTTTATGCAATATAATATTTATTTATGGTTTGTTTTATTGTTTATTTATTGTTGAAATATTTAATAAAATGGTAATTCCTTTCAAATTCAAGATGGAATTTATGTAGCGTCTGGACCAATCAAACACACAATATATATTTTGTTTTTATATTTAACAAATACTCTGTAACCTCAGTTAACAAGCCATACGAGGACCCATGAACCCTTCCCCCCGGAATGCGTAACACCCCAGGAAGTCGAACAGGCCTCTTTGTTGCATGGCAACCAACGCTGATATCACTGGGTTTATTGGCCAAAAGTATGTAAAGCAGGGAAAATCCCTGCATGTCCCAAGGAAAGGCAGAGTAGAAATGGACTGTGTTCTAATTAATTCATAGGAAAACCTTTCTTTGAACGAACACACATATTCTTCAGGCCATTGTGTATATTATTGCTGTTTTGTATTAATCTGTTGTATTATAGAATATTTTATTCATGCTTACGATAAACCACTCATTCATATAACCTTACAAATACCGTGTTTAGTATCTATGAATTCGCCTTCTGATGATCTAAACAAGATTGTATATTATATGTTGATACATAGGCAATATATTAGTGTCCTGAGAATCTTTAGTATTTTCGACTCAAGTTCCAGATACTAAGTTCCATGTTTCCACACAAAGAGTCGTAAACCCTCCAGCAATTGCCACCTCCCGCTAGGAAATTTCCATCTCTCTCATTGGACAAGCCCATCTTGAAAGGCGGGGATCTTCTCCGACCTTAAAGGCCACACTTCATGTGACCCGCCCCAGTCGGTGGTTCGGTCAGATGCAGATGAAGATGTGAAAAAAAC